TTTGACTGTTATAAACGATTAAATTTAAAGAGTTATTTATAATTAAAGAACCATAGAAGGTATAAATAAAACAATTAAAAAAAAAAAAAAAAAAAAACTCTCCTACAAATGAGAAAAAACCCTCAGAGGGAGAGACTCTTACTTTTACCCATCCTCCTTACCTATTGAAGGAGAAAAGCGACAGCTAATAAAAAAAGAAAAAGAAAGAGCAACAGCCATGAAAAAAAAAAAAAAGAAGAAAGAGGCGCTAGGGTAAACTCTTTTTCCCAGAAAAAAAAAAAAAGATTTTCAATTGCATGTTTAATCCAGTTTAACACTAGTTTTGTCATACGATAAAATTGTTGATTAATTGATATAAACTTTAGTTGAGAATCTTGTTTATCAACCTTCAAACAAGTCAAATCCAGCAATGTGATAACTTTCAATAATTAATTGACGAATTAAATTTATTGTTCTATATTAAAATTTTGATCAAATTAACTATTATGGGTTAGTTTTCTTACTTGAGATACATTATATCATAATAATTGCTTACTTTATTTTTACAATTAAATTATAAATAAAAGTAACAAGATCATGAATCTTACATATAAATATGACATGTTACTTTTCTCAATAGGTAGTTCCTCCATATTCTTTTAGGTTTTTATACTACTCTATTTTCTAAATATTTGTTTGATAAAAAAAGATATCTTAAATTCATTAACTTTGTAAGTGAAGTAGATTCATGAAATATTATTATAAAATTATAATATCTTCAGAATGACATATTATGTGTATCTTTTTTGTTATACCAATAAATTTACTCTTTACATATCATAAATCACTTAAACTAAATTTGTTTTTTCATGCCCATTATATTTTTTTATTGATACTTTTTAAATAAATTTATTAATTATTATTTTTATTGATTTTATAGCTGATTTACAATGTTGACATAAAATGAAGATAGAGAAAAATGCTCGAAAAACAACACCGAACCGGAGTTGCAATGCAGTTCACTTATTTAAGTCTAAGAGACTCGTAATTAATTAAGATTACCGTTGTCTAAATTTTTTAATCTCCACATTTTCCATATTATTTTTTAATTCCAATTTAAAACATGCTGGCTTTACCTATATATAATATACATATATCAATAATGACAGTGGAATTAAATGACTTTATTACGGGGGTACTATACGTTATAGCATGGTCATCATGTGACTCATGCTAAGAAACAAAACTCTATTAAGATTTTTTTTGTTGCCCAACCAATGGATGATTATGACTCTATAAGAATCTATTGAGAACACTGAAGAGTCCATGTATTGAAGTTCCTTTCTTTTCCTTTTAAACTCCGAGTGAGGGGGAGAGAATAGTGAGGAGCTGAAATGAGCAGCAGGATTGGTTGCTCCAAGGAAGTGATGAACAGAGTAGCCTGGAGTCCGCTTGAGGACCAGATTCTGATAGATTACATCAAAATCCATGGCGAAGGCAAATGGGCAAACATCAACAAGAAAACTGGTAAGTACTAAACTCTCATGGACAGACCACAAACACTTGATGGATAAATTGTCTATCATTTCTCCATGGAAATATTGATGATAACTATTTACCATTTTGGTGCATGCGCAGCGTTAAAAAGAAGTGGAAAGAGTTGCAGGCTAAGGTGGTTGAACTACTTGAGACCTGATATCAAGAGGGGTAACATTTCTCTAGAAGAGGAGGATCTCATCATCAGGCTCCACAAGCTCTTGGGCAACAGGTCTTTCCCCTGTTCCTTTACAACATATTTCAGGAATTTTATTTTTCGTTTGATACAGGAACGATCCTAGTTTCATGGGGCTTTTTGGGTAAATAGAGATGTCATGTATTACTGCAAATTACATATATAGTAGGAATAGACCTTGGAACTATTTCACAAAAAAAAAAAGACCTTGGAACTACTGTTCCAATGAAGGGGAGTTCAGAGGGACCCTCGTCCATAACAACAAAATCAACATCCGAAGTAGTTCCTAATTTAGCTAAATGATCATTACATGATCCGCTACTGCATTTGCTTCCCAATAGATGCGTTCCTAGTTTCATGGGGTTGATTATCTGCAGATGGTCTTTAATAGCGGGGAGACTTCCGGGCCGAACAGATAATGAAATCAAGAACTATTGGAACACAATTTTGTCCAAGAAGGCGAGAGGTGAACATCCAAAGCAACCTAAAGACGCCAAGATGATCAAGAAAAATGACATTAAATCTTCATCACCAGCTGAAACCAGTGGAGCAATCAAGACGAACACACTCAATTTATCTAAGATTCCAGACACACAGCAACCGTTAAAAGTAGCAGCTGATGCCTTTCTACATCCTCAATCAGTGCACGATAATGCCAAAGTTGAAGAACAAAAGAGTGATGAAATTCAGCATGCACAAAACCTGGTGAAAGAGTTTAATGTTGGGGAGCTTTTGCTATCTGATGATACATCGGATTCAGAGTTTTGGAAGTTGTGTGACCAGTTTGAGAATGGCACGGAGGAAGCTAGCCATGCATTAGGTTTGGGGCAGTATCCACTGTTTTCGGAGGAAATGCTTACGACGGATTGGATATGATCAGATGAAAGTTCATGCTAACATGGAGGCTTAATGTACACATGATTCTTCCGTCTTGGTGCGTGCAATGTTGATTGAGAATAATCGATTTGAGGTTTATTTTTTCTTGACCTAGTGAGTCTGTGTATTAGTAGTAGATTTTTTTTTTATGTGTTAGTTATATGTATTAATTAATTATTGGTGGTGGTTATTACCGCATAAAAAATGTTATCTAACACCACATAAATTTAGTATTTTTTAAATAATGAATTATTTATAATATTTTAAGAATATCAGTTTATAAAATAAATTCTACAGATATGGCTACCGAGCATAGCCGGCCGGTGCTTTTATGATGGTCCTCCTGCATGCCCGAAATAACATTTCCCAACAAGTCCTGTTTCTAGTAGTGAATTAATTATTTTAAGAAGCTCAAGTTTTATTTTGAACCACCTTTGGAGAAGGCTTTTTTTTTTTTTTGTATTAACTTCATAATATTTAGTAATTACATTGAGTCCTGACTAATTTAAAATTTAATTATGTCAGACTCCATTAAGAGAGAAGTTTTCTCAATGCATGTTTTTTCATTTACAAGATTCAAAATCGAGATGTTTAAGGGAAATCAAACTTTTTTGGAGAATATTAATTAAAGGCAGTAAATTTATGCTGACGCGCGCTTCTTCCTCTTATCTTGTAGTAGTATATATGAAATGAAAGTAAATTTGATCGTCAATTTAAGTCAGAAGAGAAAATGCATGTGACCTCAGATTTCCAAGGGTCGGCCATTCAAATGTACCGACCACAGTATTAATGTGACATTATCAAATTAGTAGTAACAATAATGTCCCATTAAAAATGTAATTATTAGTAATATATGAAACAGGAAGACCTGAAGACCTGCGTTTGTATGCTGCTCTGCCCATAAAATTAAACTCAAAATTTATGATTAAAAATATAAGTAATTTTATGATAAGACACATGACATGATTAATAAGTGGTAAGATTATTTCTATGAGTAAATCTGTAATTTTTTGTTACCTTGATCAATTTTAGTACTTTTGATACTATCAAACAGTAGTCTTCAAGCCACTTATTTAAGGTCTTGTTTAGCTAACAATAATAATTATTTTCGATTCAATTTTCATAGTATATGGTGAATTTATCATTTTTAGGTTGAATGATCTCTAATATTAGTAATTCTCGTTCTCTATGTTGTATACAGAGTGATTTCACTCTATCCCTAAAGTGAGAACACCACTAAAAGATTTGAATTTCAACTCTCAATTTTCCCTTCTTCCTCTTCTTTTGTAATTGTAAATAATTACCTTTATTCAAAAAAAAAATTAGTAATTCTCTATAATACTATCAAACAGTAGTCTTTAAGCTCCTGATTTAATGTTATGTTTGGCTGACAACAATAACTATTTTCGATTCAATTTTTATAGTGCATGGTGAATATATCATTTTTAGGTTGAATAATCTTTAACAATAATAGCAAACACTAAACCCCAGAACTAGGATTGTGGATTCGAAGCTCTCACAAATGTGGTTCTTTTTCTTAAATTTTCTCTAATTTTGTATATTATGTGGTGGTACGTATAATATATATACTTTTATGTTAACTTTATCATATATTAAAAAACAAACAAACAGTAGCTCCGGTATTGAAACATGCATGAAACCTGGAAGGGACTGCCTGTCCGTCTGCATTCCTTTGCCACATTAATATATAGCAAGCTCTTGTTGTTCTGGTGAATGCATCAAATTTCAAATTTTAATAGGCAAGGCCGCAACTGCAAGAGCCGAGGTAGATTATGTGCGGATTCCTTGTAAGAATGCTGAAGTTAGATTATGTTTTCAATTCGATTTAGTCAATGTCAACCATCTCGAATATCTAGTAAATTAATATGAAAAGGAATATAGAAAGCAAGGAATATCAATTCATGTCCCCCTGGACTGGAATTGTACTATATATTAGTGCTTAATTTTTTACATTAATTTTAAATAATTATAAATTTCTTGTCTTATTACCTTAATTAACAACAGGCATCACCTATTCAAGGCTAACAAATCCTCAGCTATGTTTATGACCTACATTAAAAAGGAGGCTGTGCTGGATGGTTAACTAATTTTTGTACTTGTTCAGCAGTACATATGGATACGAGTGCCTTTTATATTTAATAAATATATAAAAAAAAATTATTTGCATTTCCAAAAAATTAAAAAGAAAAATTAACGTCAGGCATCGGCATAAAGGGCTCTAATGTATTTCTTGTTACGTTGAGGTGGGTTTTCCCACTAAAAAAAGATTGAGAGGAAATATTAAAACAAATCAATGAAGGAATTATAGCTTGAAACAGAAAAGGGGACCAAAGTTTGATTGGATTAAAACTTACTACTACTTAAAAAACCACGGATTTTGGGCAAGAAGGTTTAATTTTTTGTAATGTCTAAAGATATATTTGGTTTGGTTAATTTTATCAATCTATAATAATGTTTTTCTTAAATAGTTAGTCAAAATATTTAAAGATATTAATTTAAAAATTAATTTAAATTAATATTAATTATTTTATCAACCAACAATTATAATTACCCATGATTATTCACAATCAAATCAAACAAAACTTAAAAAAAAAAAAAAACAAAAAAAGAGAAATTAAAGTCTTTCGCAAATCGAGTATCCTGGGCCCAAAACAAATAATAATAATAATATTACTATTATTAAAAAGAATAAAGATCCACTTATATAAAAATCTTACACATTATATTTTTATAAAATTTTAATAATTTATCTTTTAATTTTTAATAGTTAAAATTTATTATGATTTTTTTAGATAAAACAATAATTATTTTTAATAAATATAAATAAACCTCAATTATTAAAAAAAAATAATAATTAAAATTTTATATAAATGTAATATATAAAACTTATGTGTAAATAAATCCTTACTTTATTAAATAATATAATAAATTGCACTTTGTGCGAGTTTGTTAATGTTCATTAGGTAATATAATATTTGTAACAATAAAAATATTATCATTTATAAGTAATTTAACTTAAGATTTTGTAATTTGTTAATTATGAAATTATATAAATTTGAATACTAAATAAAATTGATTGTTTTAAACAAAAACTATATTGTTTCAATAAAATATTATGAGAAAAAATAAAAAATAATATAATTTATACTCTAAAAATATGATTTTGAAATTTTTTTAATAAAAATTTATTAAAATAATATAATTTTAAAGTAATATTTTCTTAATTTTTTTTTTGAAACTTATTTTTTTTAATTTTTAAGAGGAACGGTGGATAGACATTTTCCCTTAAATAAATAACTATATAGATTTTTATTTTTTATTTTTTCCATTTAAACGCAATTCGTCCCCAAATTATGGGAGGGGTTGGGTTTTGGAAGGATGCAAGAGATAAAGAGGCCCAAAGGGTTTGTTTCCCGAAATTTGGGCCTCAAAATTAATGATATTGGGTCCTTTTAATAAAATTAGGTGGGGTGGAATTGATTTTCTGATTCCTTAAAGATAACAATAAAAGAAGGTGACAAACCCGACAAGGACCCAAGACTAATCTTTGGTGGATTACTTATAGGCCCAGACCGTATGTTAACTTGATCCAGATTGGCCCCAAACCAAATGTAACTTTCGGCCCTTTTGGGAACTGTTCATCCTAAAAAGCCCAAATAGTTTTAATTATTTTTTCTTTTTTGTTAAATGGATTAATTACAAATGAAAAGTTTTAAGGCATGATATTAAGATAATTTTTTATATAATTTTTTATATAATTTTTATATGTAATTAAATAAGTTGATACATTACTGAGTAAAAACATTTAATATCATAAGTCTGAAATAAATAAAAAGAGTCGACACATAAAATTGTATAAAAAAAACATAAAAAAAGTTGTCCTTAATTAATTTTTTATCTTTTTATGGTAATTAATGAGTACTATGCAGTTATTAACACCTAAACATACTGCTTCTCACCTAATTAATTGGCTAGTGTTTGATTTTTTTAGTTTGAATTTTCTAGTGCATGATGCAGTATTGGTAGTTTTATTTTATATTATTTTATTTTATTTTAAATTTTATAATAAGAAGGAACTCTTTTTTTATTTCTTATAGCTTACCTCACCCAATGTCATTTAATTTAAATTCAAACCTTTTACTTTTATTTAAAAGAAATTATTGTTAAGCTATTAGCAATATTGATATGAATTAGATCCAAAACTTCATCATGAAAATATACGCCTAACACTATATGATTTGTATTAACATCTAATTTAAAATTAATTAAAAATTAAAACAAGTAGAATAGCCCATATTATATTTCAATCACACATGTTTCTTTTTTATATTTTTTATCTTAAATTTCTCATTTAGCAAGTCCTATTATGAGTGTATGTTGAAATGGAACACCTAATTAAATTTTTGACAAAGTTCACCATTATGCAGTTAAGAGTTGTTGAATGAGTGGCAAAACCCTCAACATTAAAAATTCACTCTTATCTAATAGTTTAACTTATGTAAGTCAAATTTATAAAACACAGTTTTATTTTTTAAATAACTAGGACTAATTAATCAACAATATTCTCAAACATGAGCTTCTAAAACTTTATATCACCACTTGAGCCTCTAAATTGAAATCAAGTTTGCAAAAAAGTTAAAGGTACTACAGTTGATATCGAAAGCGGAGCCAAACATGCAGGTGAAGGAAGCCAGGAGCCCGCGGAGAAAAAGAAATAGTCAAAGAAAAGAGGTGATTGGTACAATGCAAACGAGGTGTTCTGCTGAAAATCAGATATAGCATGTGAAAATGAATATGGTCTCACCGTGCGGGCTTGTATCAGTGATGTCATCTCAGTTGTTCATTAATATATCTCTCTCTCTGCTCAGATTTCAAACTCTATAATGGAAGGAAGAGGAAGGCTGACCTGATGTCTCTCTGTCGTTCCCTGCTGTGCCATGCAAGGCAGGCCCCACCCCACACGTACTCATGTTTCTTTGCATGCACTGTTCATTAGCAATTGAACTCAAATATCTACTAGTTGGTATTAATGAATTAAAAAACCCGATGTTTGCGAAATCATTTACTTTCAATCTCTTGCAGCCAAAGCTAAAGATCGATTTGGGATTCAGACTCTGAAGCTAAAAGATGTTTTCTTTTTTGGGTGCAAAATGATTAATGCATGGTCCATCTAATTGAGATGGTACAAAGGAAAAAACCAAAGAACAAGAAAAGATATATTATCTACCAGATCCACATATGCATACTATGAAGAAAGAGGCCAATTCCCCAACTCAAGCTCATAATATGTATTACCATACAGAAATTAAACACAAACAACTGCCAATTAGAAATGAACTAGAAATTGAAAAGAATTACCTAATAGTATGCAAGAAAGGGGCCTTTCAAGTGATTAGTTTTCACTCTCCATTGTCATCATTGTTGCTTTGTTTGTCTTTTCTATTCCCTCTCTGTTGTATATTCTCATTACCAGCAATACTGCCCTCAAAATCCAGTCTTGGGGATCTCATTTCGGAAACTTTGAAGCCTCCAGTAGAGTTAGGTGATGGAATTATAAGGTCTCTACCAGAAATGAAGGCTTCTAAAAACTCTGAATCACCTTGCTTCAGTGCCTCCATATCACTGCTAATCAAAGAACTAGATGAAAGAGGACAAAGACTGGTTGTTCTTGAATGGAGCTGATCCAATTGGTTGAAATAACTGCAGGTTTTAGACTGCTGAGAACGCTTTTTGCCACTCTCCTTGCTCTTCCTAAAATACTTGTTTATGTTCTCCCATTTTTCTTTGCACCTTTTAGCACTTCTTTGGTAACCCTTTGAAGCCATAGCAGAGCTCACCTCCTCCCAAAGGGGTCCCTTTAACCCGGGTTCCTGAAATTTTGATTCTAGGGCACTTCTAATTTGAATCAAGGCTTCTACTTCAGCCCTAGGCCACCTACTGTTAGCATCAAGCTCAACCGTACCCAACTTATTTCTGGGTTCTATTGCCCCTTCCGGTGGCAACAATGGAGTCCTCTCTGGAAGATTGATGCTTTGGCCAGCGATTTTCTCTAAATATGAAACAATAAGAGCTTCTCTTTTAGAAGCCATAGCTTGTTCATGTACTCTCGCAAGGGCTTCCCTATCATGCTTTGCAGCCTCTTGGCACCTCCAAGCCTCTTCTTTCTCTGTCCTCTCTTTTTCCATTATTTCAATCATTTCCAAGAATTTTCTATGAAGAAACTCTTGATGATCGATCACTTGCTTCACCAAATTCTGAAAAAACCCTGCCATTGAACTCAGTTGCTCCTTCACTTTCATTTTCCTCTTCTTCTTCTGAATCTTTCTCAAAGATGCTTCTTCCCCAATGGAAGTCTCGGACCCATGATCAACCCCGGTTACCGCATTAGCAACCCCACCTTGCCCACCTCCATTATGACCTTGAACATCTGTTAGCATCCTGGAAAAACTAACTTTTTTGGGTGAATTTTCTCCTGTGAGAGCAGACCCAGAAGCAGCAGTTTGATTACCTTCTCCAAACTTTGCAAGACTCCAGATTGCTTCAAGCTCATTAAAAAGTCTGTATTTACTGCTGGAATCCTTACATCTCTCAGCTCTGCAATCATCTGCTTGTTGCAAAGGTTTGTTGTACTCGTTACCCTCCATAGCTCGTACGCTATCTTCAGTGCTGCACTCCTTATTTTTACCTCTATTCAGAGGTTTCCTGCAGCATTTCCACAAACGCATGGAGTACACAAAAGTCACAAATCTTAGGAAAAAAACCAAGAACAAACAGAAAGAAAAAGAGTGCAAAAACGTGATTGTAAAAGTGGAAACAGAATGAATGTAATAAAAATACCAAAAAGGTTCCTTGATGACAGGATCTTCTTGGGTATTCCAACAATTGGGCATTACTAGGGAATTCTGTCGATTGTGGTGGAGAAAAGTGCCATCTTGCTGATGCTTCAAAACCCCATCATCGCCGGCACTGTTTTCGTTCAGACCCATGAAATTCACAGTAGTGGAAAAAGGGTGGGACATTTGATGCTGATGCAATCTCTCGTTTTCATGAAACTCCTGAAACCCATGTTGTTGTAACAGCCGATAAGTAACGGGGACCATCGGTGGCCGGAAAATTTGGTCCGGTGGTTTGCTTCCATGGGAGTGGTGCAAGTGGGGTTCGTAAAGAGAATGGTGGGGATTTTGATTCTGGGAATTGGAAATGGGAAAAACTGAAGAATTACACCCACCATCATCCATTAATTGGAGGTGAATGTTTTGAGCATCATAATTGGAAGGATGCATATTTTGAAATGTAGAAGGAGCCAGAAGAGTTGAGAGTAGTGCTTGATTCGGAGGAAGAATGGATTGAGATTTGAGAGGAGAAGAAGATGGTAATTATAAAGATAAAAAAACGCTGCTATATGTACTAGGTTTATTAGTTTCTCATCTCCAAAATACAAACAAGAGAAAAAAAAAATTATACTTATGGGATTTTCAAATTTAATGAACAAAAATTAGGGGATGAAGTACGGATAATCCGTTTGTCATAACCACCTGAAGATTCCATAAATTAGAGACGCATTATATATATATTCTGTTTTTACTACTGGCAATGCCATATCAGCTATATTATAATATTATTTAATATTATAATTTTATAATTATTATATATTAAATAAGTGAATATATATAATATTATTAGTAAATTTTTTAATAAAAAAATTAATTATATAATTGTATACCATATTATAAATTTATAATATCACGTAATATTATAGTTAT